ATAGTGTAGGGCATAGTGTAGGGTATAGTGTAGGGCATAGGGCATAGTGCAGGACATCGTGTAGGGCATAGTGTAGAGCATAGAGCATAGTGTAGGGTTAATGTGGTGTGATTTTCTCACTTGTATCTCTATACCAACAAGGCCCAAGAAGGCTGTGTCAGGCCATATAAAAAGTGATGTGTTGTGTCTTGGATGCACAAATATATAAACTATTTGATGCGTACAAAAAGGTCTTCTAAGTTTTCTACAATCCAACCCTGTTCTACAAAGTCTTTTGGGTTGTGTCCAGGATGATGGAGATGCTTCACTAATATCCGTCCATTTTCTTCACTTGCTTTTCTGTGCAGGCTCACATGGAGTTGGTTGCTATCTTCTGTGGTCACTGGGTTAGAGGTCAGCTAAACCCTGAATAGGCTGCTCGTCCATCACAGGGCCCCCATCAACATATCTCCGTTACATCCTTTTATTTATGTTTATATGTGCTTATCCCATGTGCGCACACAATAACACATTCTCAGAAGCCAACCCCGACTGCAAAGCCACAAATCGGAGTTAAATATTGATCATCATTCCTTTGCACCTCTTTGTCTCCTCCCTCAGCAGGAGGAGACAGACAGCGTAGAAGGAGCGAAGGCATTGGTCATGAACTTGGAGCCCCCTCCCCCCCATTAAAAACACACACTCTCAGACCTCCTCTGCATCACTCCATCTGTACCCATCCTTATCCCCACCCTAACCCGACATTCTCCCCCCCCCCCCCCAGCTATGTCTGCAAGCGTTCCCATGGCAACTGTCGCACTGCCTGCCTAGCAACAAGCTTTATCCTTTCATTGGGAAAAAACGAGGGGGGACAGAATAAGCAAACGAGGGGGATGTGGGGGTTGCAGATTTATTTATTTATTTATGTTTTGATGGGCGTGCGAGGCTCGTACTGTAACAGCAGCATGTTGCAGTGAATTCATTAACTCAGAATAGCTTCTTCTTTCTGCTCCACATCTGCACCAGCTGTTTCAGCTTTTAGTTTCACCACATTCTTCGTCACTTGGTCATTTGTTCTGCTCACCTTACAAAATAAAAGCCTGAAACACAGTTATAAATGTCAAAAGCTTGCGTGTCTGTGGTATACGAACCAAGTTCACCTCTAATGCCTCTGAGGAATAAAATATCCTCTTCATGTTATCACAATATATTCATATTTTGTAATATACTGCTTAAACATAAAAAAAAAAACATGCTTTATCGAGATAATGTATGCTGTCTTAATTAAAGGTCATTTTTTTGAACAATAAACTTTTCACTTTTTATTGCTCCATTTAATTGTAACAGGAAACCACTTCTTTTTTAATCTTTTGTATTGAATGATTTCATTTTATTTTTGTTTCTTCACTTATAGCAAACAATATTTTGTTCTTATAGAGTGGGCTGGATGTAAAATTGCCAACAAGTCATGTAATCTGTGTAATTCATGTTTATATTGTGCTGATGATGTTGCACCATGAGGAAGCTGAAGGGAAAGCTAATGCTGCCCTCTGCTGATGCTAGAACAGCCAGATTTGAGGTAATTGGTTTAGATTTTCAAAAAGCGATACATAGATTTTCAAACCGGCCCAGCGCAGGAATTTATTGTTTTTCTGGTCTTTAATTAAAAGAGTGAAAATATGCAGTTCAAACTATATTAACCTAAAAGTATTAAAAAATATAATACATTTGACCACAAAGTCAGATTTTTTGTGGCTGCTGGATTTGATTAAACACACTGTGTTTGTTACGTCAGCTCAAAGTCTCGTCCAGCTGGTGTGAATGAAACTCTTGTTTTGAAGGTTTCCAACAGAATAGTTAAGTAAGAGCACAAATAGTCCCTGGCTGATGGCTGCCGCCTGTGTGGCTGTGGGAGAGAAACAACGTCTCCTCATCGACTGTGTCAGCACTTGTCTGTCTTTTTTATTTACCTTTCGTGTAATAATGTTTCATCATGTTCTCTCACATTCTGTAACATCAATAACAGATGGGTCAGGGATCAGGTCACGTCTTGTTTCACAAGTTTTTCTCTCAGATGTTCAGGGTGGATTCTGTTCATGTTTGGCTGCTTATATAAGTGGATGATTGGTTTTGTCAAAATGTCACGAGCCATGGAGCTGATTCTTTGAATTTATGCACATTGCTGTTAGAGGAACTCCTTCAAGTTTTCCTCTGGTGCAATGCTTAGTGGGTTATCGCAATGTCATGAAAATAATAAAACGTGATTGTAGTGCTTGTGAGATCAGGATAGGTAAGAAAAATGAGAGTATGGGAAACAAAAGTGATTCCAGATTGTCCTTGCACACTCAATAATCCAGGTAGATCAATCTAACAGGTAGAGTCAGGTCCTCTGGATGGATTCTTCTTTGTTGAAACATTCAAACCTTGTTAGATGTTTACAGATTTTACCCATTGCATTTTTTTTTTTCAAAAATTTGTTTTTGGACTTGGGTCAAATGTGCTGTGTATGATTTTTGTATACATTATATTAGTAGCAGAGAAGGGAAAATAACAGTAAATCTAATGTGGTATACGTTTCTCCTCAAAAAATGCAGTGTAGAGCCAAAAATAAAAACTTAAAAAGGGCTTTTTATTGAAGAAAAAAAAAATTTAACATCCAATATTTTATATATGCATATCCATCCATCCATTATCTTTAGCCGCTTATTCCATTTTGGGTCAGGGGGTCGCTGGTGCCCATGTCCAGCAATCACTGTGCGAGGGGCGGGGTACACCCTGGACAGGTCGCAAGTCCATCACAGGGACACATAGAGACAAACAAACATTCACTCGCTCACTCACACCTAGGGACAATTTAGAGTTACCAATCAGCCTAACATGCATGTTTTTGGTCTGTGGGAGGAAACTGGAGTACCCGGACAAAACCCACGCATGCACGGAGAGAACATGCAAACTCCACCCAGAAAGGCCCCTGGATCGGGGTTTGAACCAGGGACCTGCTCGCTGAGAGGCAGCAGCTCTACCAGTTGCGCCACCGTGATATATATATATATATATATATATATATATATATATATATATATATATTTTTTTTTTTTTTTGTACATATATAAAACAATAACACTGTTCAAAAATCAGTAACTTCCTGTACATTTTAGAAAACCTAGATGTGGAAAAATATGAACTATTAAAATAAAAAGTATTGAGACCACAAATTAAGTTACCACTAGGGACACCAAATGTGCTAAATGTATTTATTTATTTCTTATAAAGACACAGCTGACATTTCAAACAACAACTTCAATACATAAAACAATAAGAAAGAATGATGTGAAACAACACAACTGTAGGTGTTACAGAGTATTTTTTATAAACCGAGTGTATTCCTTGACAGGACTGTGTGATTACAACCTCACAACAACTCAACACATGTTTGTGTAATATGATTCTGAAGAACATTTTAGTCTAGATTGCAACATATTTAAAGTGGACTTGTGTACTAAAATACATCTTTCTGTGTGTTTTCTCTCTGTCTTGTGTTTTTCAGGCCATGAACCGTCTCAACAGTGAAAATTGTGCATTAAGTCATTTTAATTATAAAACTGGATAATTCCTCGAATGTGGCATACACTATAAACTAAGTACCTTTCAATATAATTCAACATTTGGGCTTGAGAACAAGTTAAGGTATTTGTTGTGTAATTTGTTGTGTAATTTGTTGTTTCAGTGAAACTATTTTAAACTGCACACCTATAACGATAAGACTCGTGTTCATGACTGTAACGTGAGCTGACACTACAGTGAGTTGGTAAACAGGATGTTCTGACATTAGAATAAAACCCTTGAGTGTAAAAGTCCTGGTGCACACTGACAGAACTGATGCTTTTACTTTCCAAACAGTTTTCTTTCATTAAAGCTGTTTTCATCACGGACAGAGATCGTCTTGAATCAGTTGCTTTTAGCCATGAGCTGCTCTGTAAAAAGCTTCTTCAGGTGAGCCACCTCCTCGCTCAGAGAGCTCAGCTGAGACTTCAGGTAAGTGTTCTCCTGGACCTCACTTTGTCCGGGCGTGGGGGGAGACTGGAGGTTACAGCTCGGAGTAGAAGCCCTGCACTGAGGAGACTGTCTGTCCTTCCTGCTCTCCTCTCCCTCCAGCTGCTGAAGCCAGGAGCCGGTGCAGAGCACTGTCTCTGCGTCTCCTCTGCTCACTCCTTTGGCTGAGTCTCTCAGCCCTTCCTGTCCTGCGGCGGAGAGCAGGGGGCTCCTTCTGTTCTCACATGGTCCATCAGCCCCCTCGCTGCCTCCAGGCGTCTTGAAGCGTAGCTTGTGAGGAAGGTTTTTTATCGTCTCCACCGGCTCCAGCCTTCCTCCACCATGTGCTGCAGTGTGGGGGACATCAGTGGGAAAGTGATGGAGGTCATAGCTCAGCTCTTCTGCCCTGTGAGGTGAGAACTTCCCGTGTTCACCGGGCCGGTCCTCAAAGAAGATCGGGCTGCCCACGCTGGACCCACCTGGCGTGGAGAAACCTGAGTCCTCTGATACGTTCCCAGCCTCCCTGGAGCTCCTGGTGCTCCCCTGGCCCATCTGGGCACTGGGATGAGGTGCTGGGGAGCTCAGGGGGAATCCACTCCCTCTGTGTGGGTAGTAGTGATGAGTTATGGTTTGGGGGGGGTGCTGAGGAGCTGCAGCCAGAGGCAGGATTTGGGTGTTGGAGGGCTCTTTAACCAAACCAAAGCGAAACTTGAGGGCCAGCAGCTCCGCCCTGAGCCGAGCGTTTTCCTCCAGCAGGGCCAGCACCCGGCTCTCCAGGACCATGTCGTTCACTCGCCGCTTCTCCCGCGAACGCTTGGCCGCCTCGTTGTTCTTCTTCCTCTTGTCCCAGTAGCTCTCGTCCTTCTTCTCCTGAGGGATGAACTCGCGCTTGCGCCGGGCAGCGGCGGCAGAGCTCTCCTTGCGTTTGACGGCCGCGGGGCGACCCAGCAGGGAGCGAGCCAACAGGCTGCCGGAGGTCAGTATGGACACGGCTTCATCTGTGAAGGACAGAGGACTTCCTCCTGCTCCTCCACCGTCACCTCCACTGGAGGCGGGGGAGTCGGCATCACGGACCACAGCCAGCTCCGGCTGCGTCCTCACCCCCTGAGACTGCTCCTCAAACATCACCCCACGCTGGTCTGAACGACTGTCTCCTCTCTGCTGATCACTGGGTGCTGCTGGGAACCCTCTGAGCGCTGGGAGTCAAGAATGGAGCAACAGCGCCACCTAGCGATGAGAGGGGGAGGAAAGCAGAAGGCTTTGGTTACGCAAGAGCATTACAACACAATATTATGTAAGCCCATTACATATTTCCAGTAAAACAGTGATAACTTGTATCTTCACCTTACAAGCTTCATCACCAAACCAGTAAGAGAGTGCATACAGGAACACCAGAGGCTTTAATGGCGTTTTACTTTAGGCGCATTATTTTGCTAACAGAATAATCAATGAATCTTTTCAGCACTTCACCTGTAAATATATTCATTTGAAGTCTAAAACACTTGTCTTGTCCACAAGTGTCTGTTGAATAATGGAACCGGTTCGGATCAAACGCTTCCTGCTCTGACAGCACTGACCCACATCTACCCGGGCTGACCCGGTTCTTCTGCAATCTGACACAAATTGATTCACGGGACACGTGCAGCAGGACTCTTTAAGTGAATTTGACAATGAAACATGTTTTCATTTATTTAAAAAAAAAAAAAAAACTATTAGAAAACTGCGCCAAGCACAAGTAACAACTTTACGCAGAGGAGTTTGCGCTAAATGGAATAATAGTTTTAGGAAGTCTGAGCATAAAATAAGTGTACTGTACCTCAGTTAAACGATGAGTCGACTCCTCTCAGAGACATTTGTGTCCTGTTGGTTGAAAACAGCTCTGCTCCTGTGTCATATTCTGCGCGCGCGTCTCCGTGCGCCTCCACTCTGCTCCACTTGGAAAATGCCGCAGCTCCTATTTGTAACGTGGAGTTCAGCTCGGGTCGTGTCTGTCCTCGCCTGAACCACCCGGCCCTGTTTGTGTGTGTTTCTAAGCCCGCCCCTCCTCGTATTCCCCCCCCCCCCCCCCCCCCCTGTGTTCTCCATCCAAAAGGAAAGCTCCTATAACAAACAAGGCATTTCAGGCCACATCATCATCATCATCGTCATCAGACCTCCCCGGCCACGCCTCCTCTGATTGGATAATGTTGCGGTAAGAGTTAGATAATTTTCAGCCTCTCTTTGTCCCCAGAATGAAGAGAGAGCAGCGTTTCTGCAGTTATGTAAAAAAGTCCATAAGAGGTGGTTATACAACCGCTTCTGTAATTTTTGATAAAACTTTAGAGCTTATATTGTTTTTATGATCCCAAAATGAGTGTGAGACTTGTTTAAAGTTTTTATAATGTCAGTGAGAGGGATGGATACATGGAAGCTGGGTTAGTTTGACTCGTGCTAGAGAAAACATGATTTTAATAATTCCTTGCTTTTGTTTCCATAATAACTAAAGTCTGGTGTTAGCTTTAAAGCACTTGTTAGATTTGCCTGATTTAGTTGCATCGACTAGTTCCTCTAAACTTGGTTGTTTCAGTGTGGACACTGATCATTATGAATAACTCATGGATGTCAATGAAGTTAAACCATTTCAGAATTTCCCAAACGCACAAAAAAGCAAAACAGCTCAAAGTTTGTTATGAATGGGTTTACTTCAATTTATTTATTTATTTTCTCTTATTTTTTGTAGTATTTTGTTGTTTTAATATGGGGAGTGGTGGTGCAGAGGGTAGAGAAGGAGGGCCTGTGATCTGTAGGTCGCTTGGTCAACTTCCTGGACTGACAACATCAAAATGTGGGTGGGAAAGGTGAAACACCCACACCTGTCTCCAACATTTGCCCCACTCTTGGCTCTTGTGCAAGGCCCTCAACCCCCACCATGTGCTCCCCTGGGCACCCCAGATAGCAGCTCTCTGCTCCACACAGAGGGCTGTGGTAGCTCGGTGGTCTGTGGTTGAGTCAGGAAGGACATCCGGCGTAAAAATAACTGCCAAGTCTTCGTGCGACTTAGTTCGCTGTGGCAACCCCCTGAAGAAGGGAGCAGCTGAAAGAAGAAGAATGAAGAAAGTTATTTTAATATCAATCAATCAATCAATCGATCAATCAAAAATATTTTACTAATCCCAGAGGGAAACTATTTGTTGTTGTAACTCGTTATCCTCATTTCATTAAGAGATGTTATAGATGCTGATGGCTGTAGACAGGAAGGATCTCTTGTAAAGGTCCATCTCACAGTGGATCCTAAGAAACTGGCAGCAGATGTCGTCCGATCCGTTCACCCAGACTCTGCTGGCCTCTCGGTTCCCCCGGGCTGTAGGACCGCCTGAATGCCAGGCAGAACTCCTCCCAGAGCGATGGCCACTCCTCCCAGCAGTCTGTCAAGCTCCTCGTCGCTGCGGACAGCCAACTGTAGGTGCTGAGGGATGATCCTTCCGCTGTCATGAGCCGTGTTTCCTGCTAGTTCCAGGATCTCAGTGGTCAGACACTCGAGCACAGCTGGCAGGTAGATGGGAATGCGTCCACAGAGCATCCTTTCAACTCATTTGAGATTTGGGGCTGTAGTTGAGATATTTGAGCTTTTGAGATGTTAATCAGCTGCTGTTGGTTGTAGAAAACTGCCTTGTTGCCATGGTTACGCATCATAACAAATGCCCACAATTAAAAAAGTTTCAGTAAAAATCCTTCCAGCTGCACATCATCTGATACCAGAGGAAACAATCATCCAAAAAATGTGATTTACATTCAGAAAAAGAGGAATTAAAGTTTCCAAAAGCAAAATCTCAGAATGAAAGTAACAGAGCTGCTCCAACATGCATTCTAGAACTTGTCATATCAGGGTCATGGTTGCTCAGTGGTCAGTGCTGTGGTCTTGAATCTTAAGGCTGCATCAGAAAGCGTGGAACATGGATTCTGTTAACTCTTCAAAATTAACTAAATGATTTTGATTCAAGAGTAAATACCTGAACGATTCAGAGACCCAATGTTACTGTTTAGGGTGTGCATCATAAGTTATCAAACAAACTGAAAAAAACGTTAGTCTCTTTAGTTGCAAACCGATGAATACATATTAATGGGGGCCAATGATGCTACTGCTCATAACTCCAACATCCACGTCCTTCTGGGAAGTCCAGTATGGGAAAAGGCCGTAGGTTAAATTAAAGGTGGACATCATAGTTTTCAATAGTTGTTTTGGCCATATACACAAAAAAAGCAGGGGTGGCATTTTAGTTTATTTTTCTATGTGGAACATCCATCCATCAATCTATCTGGGGCAGCAGCTTGAGCAGGGAGGTCCAGACATCTCTTTCCTCAGCCACCTCTTCCAGCTCTTCTGGGAGGATTCCAAGGCGTTCCCAGACCAACCAAAAGACATAGTCTCCGCAGCGTGTCCTGGGCCTTCCCCGTCGGACATGCCTGAAAAAAAACCTCCCTAGGGAGGCTCCCGGGGTATACACTACCAGATACTTGAACCACCTCAAATGGGTCCTCTCGATGTGGAGGAACAGTGGCTATACTCCGAGTCTCTTCCAAATAATTGAACACCTCACCACATTTCTAAGGGAGAGTCCAGCTACCCTTTGGAAGAAAGTAATTTCCAACACTTCAGTTTGCAATCTTGTTATTTCAGTCACTACTCAAAGTTCGTGACCATAGATGAGGGTAGGAACATAGACCGACCAGTAAACAGAGGGCTTCATCTTGAAGCTCAGCTGCCTCTTCACCACAACGGACCGGCACAGAGTCTGCAATACTGGAGAAGCATCAGCAGCACCAATCTGCAAGTCAGTCTCATGCTCCATTCTTCTCTTACTCGTGAACAAAATCCCATGATACTTGAACGTCTCCACCTGAGGCCGAACCTCAAGAATCATCCCATCTCAGAATCTCTGGAACTTGATTTCAAATAAAGGGTTTTGGGATGCCTAAAATGTTGTTTACATGAACATGCAAAGCTAAAAAGTTATAACAAAACTGGCAGATTCGCAAAACTTTGCTCCTATATGAATAACCCCATACGCTTGTTATTATCGGAGTTGCAAGGCGAAAGTCCCTGTTGAAGAAAACATTGAATTTTGACTAAAGTTTGCCAAGCAGCATGTGGAAGACTCCACGGTAAGGTGCTTCTCAGCAGCTGGCCATGAAAATCTTATGGAGTTAGACGGTATAACGAATGCCACAAATAAGAAAATCATGGGAGAACAATCCGATGCTGTCTGCAAAATAACCATGTTATATGTACGGTCTTTCCATCTTAACTAAGCTTGTAACGCCTTCAGAGTGGTCAGGTGTGTTGGTTACCTCACAATTCAACACCATGATCCCCCAAACCCTGATGGACAAACTATCCACACTAGGACTAAGCCCCTCCATTTGCAACTGGGTACTAGACTTTTTAACAAAGAGACCACAGTTAGTGAGGATCCACAACCTCTCCTCCTCCACCATAACCCTCAGCACTGGCTCTCCTCAGGGATGTGTGTTGAGCCCCCTCCTGTTTACTCTGCTCACGTATGATTGTGCAGCTACCCATCCAGGCTGTCACATTGTAAAGTTTGCAGATGATACAGCGGTGGTGGGATGCATCACAAACAATGATGAGTCCAGCTACAGGCA